CTAGATCAAGTCAATAATGTCACAATAATGCAGGTCTACATCTTGGTGATAACACAATATTGCAGGCCATGATAAAATTGATAGTATATCACAGGCCCTGATCATATTGTTAATACATTGCAATACAACATGCCTTGATCATATCTATGCTATATCACAGGCCTCAACCATATCGATAATACACCATAGATCTTAGTAATAATATATCACAAAAATATCACATATTGGTAATAAATCAAAATATAACAGGCCTAGATAGTATGGATAAAATATCTCAACGTCACAGAGCTTGGTCATATCAATACAATATATCCCATTAATATCACAGAACTTGGTCATATCAATACGATATATATCACATTAATATCACAGAACTTGGTCATATCAATACAATATATCCCATTAATATCACAGAACTTGGTCATATCAATACAATATATCTTATTAATATGACAGAACTTGGTCATATCAATACAATATATCCTATTAATATCACAGAACTTGGTCGTATCAATACAATATATCCCATTAATATGACAGAACTTGGTCATATTAATACAATATATCCTATTAATATGTCACAGAACTTGGTCATATTGATACAATATATCCTATTAATATCACAGAACTTGATCATATCAATACAATATATCCCATTAATATCACAGAACTTGGTCATATCAATACAATATATCCCATTAATATGACAGAACTTGGTCATATTAATACAATATATCTTATTAATATCACAGAACTTGGTCGTATCAATACAATATATCCCATCAATATCACAGAACTTGGTCATATTAATACAATATATCCTATTAATATGACAGAACTTGGTCATATTAATACAATATATCTTATTAATATCACAGAACTTGGTCGTATCAATACAATATATCCCATTTATATCACAGAACTTGGTCATATCAATACAATATATCCTATTAATATCACAGGCGATGATCATATCAATAATTTATTTATAAAATGTTTAAAGATCTATACAAATTGCATGATTATTTAATACAATGTTTAAACTAATTGTTGTTTTGTGATGAGAAAAATAAAAAAATATATCCCTGCCAATAAATAGAAGTAATATATATATATATATATATATATATATGTATTTATTTATTGAAACTGTGCACGTTTAATTTTCAGTGACAGTGTCAGTTGAACGTTGTATGGTATAGGTTTGCTTATGTTTTAGTTCACGAAAACTGCCATTGTGATATTTGTTTCATTTTCATTTAGTTGAAACCATTAATACATTTTCATAAACAGCGCCACCTAGAGTCAAAACGTAATTATGTACCGCTCAAGTTGTTCCCCAAAACGCAATTGCTTCTATACGCATTTGTGTATTATAGGTGTAACTTTCATCACGTACTGTTTTATTTTTACTAGTTATAAATATATTGTTGTATGCGGACAATGTGCCGATATGCTGATACTTACAATGAGACAAATAAATCAATTACAGCATTTTGTAAGTAAACTTGAATAAAACACAGATTATTGTATTTCGCATTGGTGGGTACGTAAAACAAAATGAAAATGGTTTTATGATGGTCTGTTAATGAAGGTCATTTTTACTCCCGTGTGCAAAGCACACAATGGGAGCCTTTGCAGCTATATATGAAGTGTGTGTGTGTGTGTGTGTGTGTGTGTGTGTGTGTGTGTGTGTGTGTGTGTGTATGTGTGTGTGTGTGTGTGTGTGTGTGTGTGTGTGTGTGTGTGTGTGTGTGTGTGTGTGTGTGTGTGTGTGTGTGTGTGTCTGCTATCTGTCTGTCTGCCTGCCTGTCTGTCTGTCCGTGCCTTTTCCACCGATATCTCAGGAAATACTTTCATAGATTTTGATGAAACTTTGTACATAGGTGCTCTGGATTATTGCGTAGACTTTGCGTGACTTCAAATCTGATCATATTACTTACCCAGTCAGCCAGTTTCTAACATTGTTACTTGTTTCTCGATTGTAACGAAACAAACTATACAAACTATAGTAGATGCTCTGGAATAATGCACAGACCTAATTAGTTTTTGGTTGAAATCCGTGCATATTAAAGAACTAATTTGTATATTAATTAGGCGATATTTAGTTTTTTCACCAATGTCACAATCGCTCTTCTGATTTCAATAAAAATTGCCGAACTTGAGACATACTAGATGCTCGGAGATAAGCCATATACATATTAAACTTAGGGTTACATTTTGTGCTTACTAATCAGCTAATTTGCATGATTTAACCAATTTATAGGTCCTCCACAGATAAGAGTTCATTCATAAAATTTTCATGAAACTCGGGCAATCCACAGATCTGATTACTGATTAATGGAGGCATTTGACAAGAGATATGACTAACATATAATATGTGACCTCGTTGATATGCATAACTGTAATTTACTAAGCACTACTGCAGATAGTGTCATGCAACCAGTGCTATAATGAAGGTATTAAACAAGAGGTCATGTGACCTCAATAATATGCATAACATAATATTTAAGTACTGTTGCAGATGCAACCGGTGCTATCATTTTCTCTGACAAGATATATGACCAAAATATCAAGTCATCATATCTGATAATCATTGCAATACCATAGCCACTTAGTACCACCCTGATCACTGCTTGCAGTTATATTTTTAAATACCGTGACGGCGTCTATTAGCATCTCATGTACATACTGTAAATATAAATGACAAAGACCATGGAAAGTCTATGGTCGAAATAAGACATATTTCAATAATGTTTGCATTAAATAAACACACACAAAAGCTAGCAGGCCACACCAGGCAAGATACATTTTACTTCCCAGAGATCCTTGCGGCCAGAACGCCCGAAAGTTTAAATATTCGTAGGAATAGAACTCTGCCTGGGAGATTGGGCAAGGCGTTGATGGATGCAATTAAGACCAGAACGTTGCGTGAAAACCCAGGATCAAAACTTACTAGGTCTATAATATTCAATCTCTACTCTCTCGTCCCGTATTTGGCCATGTATGGTTGAACCAATAAGTTTGTACTTCTAGTCTGTTCTTGTCAGAATTAAAAAATGAATAAAGGAATGCGCAATGCAAAGTTGGAATCAAAATATTTTGTCATTTACATCGTTACATAAGCCTGCATTTGAGCTGCGTTCATATTCGAAAATTCCGAATAGCACTGTCAATATATTGTTTTTCTTCTCAAGATCTGTGTATTATGAAAGAATGTCATGAAAATGTGTCAGTCGGAGCAACGTTTTTGACAGCAACTCGTCCTCATTAAAATGACCTGATAACAACCACAGCGGTTCTGTATCAATCCGTTTTATTTCCTTTTTCCTACAAGTTGTAGGCTATGCTTCTTTAATTTAATGGGCGAGTGTTTAGGAGAACATGCATCCCTGAAAACCAAAGACAAGATAGAAAATTCAAAAATAGAATTGAGAAAAAAAATTGAAGAAAAAAAATATAATAAATAATAATAAAAGAATAAAAAAGAAAGACGAAAAGCCCAATAAGTTCTGTGGCAAGTTTTGTACTGCTAATTATTTATGTAAAACAGGAACAACAATATAATAACTAAATATAAATATTCTAATATTAACATTTATTGTCTTTTAAAATACTGTAGAATATTTTTTTTCGCTTAGAATTAATTTTTAAATCAGTGAAAATAAAATCCATACAAAGCACCCAAACAGTCTATTCAGCAAAAATTAATTCCAGCTAAAGTAAAGTATTTTACAGTAGTCAACTGTGGTGTGTGACCTACAATTTGGAACTCGAAATCCTTTGGAACTTTGATCCCAATGACGAAAGTCTCGTTTTCTGCGAGATTATGTAAATAACATTCATGACGTCACTACCGTACTGAGCTGATCAACGGAGAAGAGGAAGCGTGTCTTCCTGGTTTTGTAAAGTAAGATTTGTAACAAGTTTTGTGACTTACTGGTCATTCCCTTTCGGTGGATAGGAGAACGAACAAGCCAAGGAACGTCATCGCTACACTTATATGAAGGCGGATTTATTTTGACGGCAATTATCACGTAGTATGTGAACTATTATGGAAGTGCGGGGCGTTAGCTCGAGCCATTATCTACCTGACTGGACTGTCAGAAGCTGGCTCTGTTCTGTATCTGGCGCATAATACGGTTCTCAATTTGTCGATTGGTAGTGATCGTTGATCACTTTATTTATGTATAAACCGTTGCCCTGGTTGTCCAGGCGCGTATGTCGATTTATATCTTTCATTTTATGTTTTCATCATGAGATAGCAATTTGTCGTCAAAGTCGTGATGACCTCTTAATTCTCGGCTAGACTGACTTGTTTTTCTCTGCCTGCGTAGAGTGTAATGCGCTTTTTAAATAACAACATCGCACTGTGTTTGACATTGAAATGACCCACATTTTATTACGTTGTTTTTTTTTTTCAGTTCAGTGTGCTATCGGGCCCTCGGCTCCCGCTATGTCATCAGACGTAACACAGGTTGTAAAAGAAGGATGGGTACAGAAACGAGGTATGTTTTTTTTTAAAGACTTCCGCATTTAGAAATCGAAAGCTGTTTTATCATTCTTATATGAATTACTTCCGGTAAAATAAATAATCGCTTGGTTGATTTAATTTCATCTTTTACTTTTACTTCATTTGTAAAGTACATAATTCACTTACGATGAACTTTACTGAAAACATCAGTTATGTGATGTCATGCAATGCCAAGTTTCGTGTTTGTTATTGATTTTAAGTGACAGTTATTTACATTCAAAACAACGTGTTTTTTCTTCGTGTATTCCTTTTTTTCTAACTGACTCCATCGTGTGAATGTGCTGAAAATGAAAGTAAAAAATGTATTGATTAGTGCATAGTCAGTGGGCGGGTATGCAAGTGGGGGTGTGAGTGGGGTTTTCATCTCATCTGACTAATACACACTGTTGTATCCCAATAGCAAGGGGTTTAAAGCTCTTGTTTAATTTTGTCTTTAAAACTTTTTTTTTAACATTATTTCATTTCAAAACATAATGTAAACCCCTTTAATTTCACAATTTTCACTGGTTTGTAAAAATTGTCCAAGGAACACTGTAAAATTGTGGAAATTCCTAGCAGCCAGAATTAATTGGTTTTTATTTGATTTGGTATTTTATCAAGATGTGGGGAAAAAAATTCTTCATCACTCTGAAAAAATGGGGGATGCATCAGTCTGAATATAAAAAGGTATTTTATTAAAATCCCCTTCATCTAATACAGTAAAGTGTTCTCCCACAGAATATGACTTAGAATATTGGCTGATTTGCATAACAATGGATTATGTTAATCACATATTTTAATTGATCTGTGTTATGATAATTAAGCTTTATTGTTTATCCAGGATTTTTTGCAGTTTCTTCTTCCATTATATTAAAAAGACTTGTTTAAATTATCAGCTAAGTTGAAAAATTACCTCAAAAATGGCTTGGTACATTTGAAAATTTAAGGGTGAAACAGACAAATACTGTTTGATTGCCCATTCACTAAATTGAACATCACACACACCCCAAGAAATAGTGGGGGAATTCTACAAAAAATTAGCATGAATTGTGCAGTCATGAATCCTTGATGAAACACTGTTGGATTAATGATTACTTTTTTCAATCGTACCGGTAGTTTTACCGGTAGGATTAAAAAAAAAATCATGAACCTAAAACTAGTAAACTTTGACCTCCAAACAATGGAAGTAGTGTTTCCACATGCTGTAGGCATGTTTGTGTTATGGCTAAACTATTGACCAATTATGTTAAACCATTGAATTATAAAAGAAAATGTGTGAAAATTGCATGCATCCCAAGAAATAGCGGGGAATCTCTGAAAATGTGTTTGATCGGTTTCAATAACATTATCCTAATCAATACTTTTATGTATTGCATGTAATTGTCTGTGATTTGTGGATTTTTTTTTTAATAGTGAGAACTTGTAAATTTCTTCCGTTGAAAATGTTCACAGTAATTTGTAGCTTGGGGTCCAGCCATTCAGAGTGTACTTCCCAGTCCAGTCAGAGTGCCCTCATGGCACAAAATTCTGTGTCACTCCTGATTGGCTGTCTCCATGACTTCAGTACATTGCCATGGGAACTCACATGCACAGACTTGTACGCAAGGCCTGTTCGTAGATCCTTTTTAAAGTATCACGATAAGAGACATCCAGTCTTGCATCAATATCATAAATGTCACTGATAAAAAAAAAAAAAAAAGTTTTTAGTTACCAAATTTGTCTATAATGAAATAGGGTTGGTTTTAAGTTGGCAAGGCAACCATGACGTGCATAATAATGTTAAATTTAATATACCCAATATGTACTTCTCGTCTGAGCAAATGTGAAAAGGTAATCGATGTACTTCTGGTCAGAGCGATTACGTAGTTTTTACACTGAGATTTTACAGTACAGTCTTTAGTTTTGTCCAGGAAAAAATAGCTCTGTAACCTAGCAACCAGTGAACTTGCGTACATATTTACCGGTAATTAGATTTGACATTACTATAGACTAACTGATGTAACCTGGTGTGACCTCATGTGACCTGGTATATCAATGGTTCTCGTACTGTCAACATTCAAAGTGTCTCACTATCAAGAAGTATGTCTCAGTATTAATTGTTTCAGTCACATTTCCGCAATTCACCTGTCTATCACCTCAAGTATTAACATTTTTATGATGTAACATTAATAAGTCTTACACATGTGTGATGTTGTATGAAACAGTGTTTATGTAATGCATGCATAATTAATTAATTATATACAGAGGTGAAAGGAGAAGTCTTCACTGCAATGGTGTTGGTAAGAGAGAGTGCATCATTCAACCATGACAATATGATTGAATGAAAAATTTGAAATAAGTTGCATTTAGATCTCGCATTATGAACTTACCGCCCTGGTGTACTTATTGCAACTACCACAATGCATCTCACTTATGTGATCCTATAAATTCAAGTAATAGAAGTTTAAGTGTTCTTCACAGTATTTACCATCTTTTTGAGTCACCCTGCTGCTTTTCCTTTTCAGACAATACAAATAATATAATTGATCATTAGCTATGATAATTGTATGCAAATTGGGCTGCTTATTTAGTACTTTGGGTAAAAACACTGATGTTTGCTTTAATTCTTTGTGTCATCATTTCTTGCTGTTCAGTTTAAGTGATGTCTTCATTCTTTGTGTTTCAGTGCAAGTGATGTCATTCTTTGTGTTTCAGTGCAAATGATGTCATCATTCTTCGTGTTTCAGTGCAAGTGATGTCATCATTCTTTGTGTTTCAGTGCAAGTGATGTCTTCATTCTTTGTGTTTCAGTGCAAATGATGTCATCATTCTTTGTGTTTCAGTGTAAGTGATGTCATTTTTTGTGTTTCAGTGTAAGTGACGTCTTCATTCTTTGTGTTTCTGTGCAAATGATGTCATCATTCTTCGTATTTCAGTGCAAGTGATGTCATCATTCTTTGTGTTTCAGTGCAAGTGATGTCTTCATTCTTTGTGTTTCAGTGCAAATGATGTCATCATTCTTTGTGTTTCAGTGCAAGTGATGTCATCATTCTTTGTGTTTCAGTGCAAGTGATGTCATTCTTTATTTCAGTGTAAGTGATGTCATCATTTTTTGTGTTTCAGTGCAAGTGATGTCATCATTCTTCGTGTTTCAGTGCAAGTGATGTCATCATTCTTTGTGTTTCAGTGCAAGTGATGTCTTCATTCTTTGTGTTTCAGTGCAAGTAATGTCATTCTTTGTGTTTCAGTGCAAATGATGTCATCATTCTTCGTGTTTCAGTGCAAGTGATGTCATCATTCTTTGTGTTTCAGTGCAAGTGATGTCTTCATTCTTTGTGTTTCAGTGCAAATGATGTCATCATTCTTTGTGTTTCAGTGCAAATGATGTCATTTTTTGTGTTTCAGTGTAAGTGACGTCTTCATTCTTTGTGTTTCTGTGCAAATGATGTCATCATTCTTCGTATTTCAGTGCAAGTGATGTCATCATTCTTTGTGTTTCAGTGCAAGTGATGTCTTCATTCTTTGTGTTTCAGTGCAAATGATGTCATCATTCTTTGTGTTTCAGTGCAAGTGATGTCATCATTCTTTGTGTTTCAGTGCAAGTGATGTCGTCATTCTTTGTGTTTCAGTGCAAGTGATGTCATTCTTTATTTCAGTGTAAGTGATGTCATCATTCTTTGTGTTTCAGTGCAAGTGATGTCATCATTCTTCGTGTTTCAGTGCAAGTGATGTCATCATTCTTTGTGTTTCAGTGTAAGTGATGTCATTCTTTGTGGTTCAGTGTAAGTGACGTCTTCATTCATGGGAGTATGTAAATTCTGCACAATATGAACATTGCATTGCATTGCTGACTTTGAATAAACTGAGATACATGCATCTATATATATAATGTATGATATACATTGAAAGGCAAATACATTCCTTCCCTACATCTGAAATAAAACATGCTTTTGTTTTCGTAAATGGATCTCATAGGATTTCTTTTTTTTTTATTGGATAGTTGTCAATGTCAATTTATTCATTATCATTGTAAACATGTTTTCCCCCTGGTACATTCAATCTACTATCATGTCAGGGTTGCAGTATTGACAGCCTTATTTCACTTTAGTTGTTCATGAAAGCACTGTGTTCAAGGTTGCTTAACACTGTTTACACTAGTAAATTAAGATCCGGGGAAGGTGTTTCAACTTTTAGTTCTTCTTTTCTTGTTATTCAGCTTGTGTGCATGCTATTATGTTTACACATACACTGTTTTTGTCAGGATATTTGCAGAAGAGGAACTGCAAAAAAAAAAACCTTGATGAGAGAATACAGTTTAAATGAATGTCAGTGAGAATATAATATTTTACTTAATGTAATTGTATTTCTCTCTGGTAATTGTAAATGAATTTTAAAAAACTATTTAGGTTCATTGTTTGCCATGTAGTTCTAAGGTCGTGGCAAAATCTCCTCTTCATCTTACTCCTTGCTTGGCAGCACAAGTTATCACATAAACATCATCTCGTTTCATAATATCGATTCAGAATAAATTATGAAATTGGAAGAATTCTTCAAGCTTAAGGAGATTCACTTTTTTTGTAAATTTATATTTTGGAAACTTTTTTTTTCCAGATATTTCTTGGAACATAGTTGTATTCATGTTTACTGTGTTGCATGTTGAGAATGGACTTAACTACATTTTAAGTCATAAATTATTCAATGTGCCTTAAGGCAGCAAAGTCGATGTCACAACGTCATGGGTCCTGTGTGACATTCAGTACATGTAAAACACTTTGTTGTATTTGATTGCATGATGTACACTGACTGTCGCGGTTCAACATGAAATATCCCGAATGAGATTAAGCTACATAAACGTACCGTATTACGCTTAGTTAAATTACAGAGGTGTTTCTATGGTCAAAAAAAAGTCATTTTTAATTTAAATTTATTTATTTCTCTTTCGTTGGACGTACGCCTCTCTTCTAATATATGGTACATGTGCTTAGTATAATATCTGATTTTATTTTGGTACAAATG